AAAAAAAAAAAAAAAAAAAAAAAAAAAATAGAAAGCAATTGATTGTTTTCATTGTGTGCTGGATTTACATTAAAACTGAGATGCTTAATTTCTCCTGGACATGAAAGTAACTGCAGATGCAGGATTGAGCTTTAAAATTTACGTTTCAATTATTACTAAGTAGATAAGAGCAAGGGTTATATGACTTCTGCCATACAGCTCATTATTCAGTTGGGGCTGAAGTTGCTCTAATAAGACTTGGTCTGTGAATCTGTTTGTTGAAAGAAGATCAGAGGTCTCTGAATGCCATGGCACAGCTTTGTTTTATTCTTATTGGAGAGACAGCTGCTGTCCTCAAGTCTTCTGGCCATTAAAATACACTAGCAATATTTTTAGCAAAGCAGGTTTAGGGCAGATACTATGAAAAAATCTGCAGACTACAAGCAAAGTTGATTGCTGCATCCACTTCCTAGGCAGAGTGTTAATCCATGTCATTATGAAGGTTTAAAAGCACCTTGGACAAACATTTGCCACAAATAGACTGGACGTTACTCAATCTAGTCTCAGAAAAGGTAGATGAAGTAGCTGATCACTTTGGTTGTTTTGAGACTATAATTTCTACAAATTATTTGGAAAATACTACTGCACATTCAAAATGTTCTTTGTGTTTTAAATTGGTTACTGTGGTTTTTGCTTTGGTGTCCTCTGAACAGGGCTGGAAAAAGGGCAGACCCTTGAATTAATTCAGCTGGATGCTTTCTCTTTGAAAATGTGCCAACATGCAGCTAGGTGATCCTCCCTACTGAAGGGCAGCACACTGATCAGGACTCCATTCGTAGTCCTGAGGTTGTGTGGATCTTGGATTTAGGAGTTTCGGAAACGTCTTTAGCAAGCATGTATCCCACTGGATAACAGGTAGTGTCTCTTCTTATATGCAGTGTATGCTTATCTCAGAGCCTGAAACATAGTGTAGCATTGCTTCCTCCTCCTATGATTTCTCAGCTCTCTTTCTTTTTCCTTGCAAGTACTTTAAAGATGAAATGTTAACAAGCTATTTCCTGTTTTCTAAACTCCTTAATGGGGGCAAATTAGGAGGTGGGAAATAGTATTTGGAAACATTGCAACAATTTTGTAAGTTATCAGTGTATAGTCCAGCCAGTTCTAAAACTGATTATAAATTATATTTCTGAATACATACCAGATATTTTAAGATCTTAAACTCTCATCATTTATGTTTTTCTTTGCAAAAATCTCTCATGTTGAGTGCTAAGTGTAGGCACACCATTATTCGTATATTGTACTAATATTACATCAAAAGCTAGGAGTGAAGAGTGGAATACTTGGAAATAACTGTGTTAAAATTTCATTCTGTTACACATTCAGCCTTACATTTTGGCTTCAGAATATATAAAGCAAAATATAAGTACGGATATATGCAATATATCTTATAATAAAATAAAATATCTCTGGACATGAGGAAGTATTACTTTTCAGAAAGGGTGGTCAGGCACTGGAACGGACTGCCCAGGGAGGTGGTGGAGTCACCAACCCTAGGGGTGTTCAAGGAAAGACTGGATGTTGTGTTGAGGGACGTGGTTTAGTAGGAGCTATTGGGAATAGGTGAACGGTTGGACTGGGTGATCTTTTAGGTCTTTTCCAACCTTGGTGATTCTATAATTCTATGATTCTAATAAGTTGCATCCTGCTACATAAATATACCTTAATGTATAGTTCAAGGAACATATATATGGAACACATATATATATATGTGTGTATATGTATATACACACAGAGAATTTCTTGAATGTGAAAAAGAAAATAAAAGCAGTCATAACTATTAAACCTATTTAGGTTCCAAGCTTTTAAACTGAAGTGAGGGCTCTTTATTTTCAAGAAACCAGAGACAAAAGTAACTCAAGCCAAGGAGCTATCAAATGGCTCTTTTTCCTCAGGAGTCCCATGCTGTCTTGCAGGGGCCAAATGTTCTCTGTGGTATTTAGCAGTAATTGCAGCATAGGCACAACCATAAACAGCAGCTGCCAACATCATTAGACACACAATTCCACAGACAACTCCAGTTATTACTACAGTGGCAATTGCATGACGCAAATTAACAGGCCTCGGCTTTGGTTTGGGTTCACAACTTAGCCTGCTGTTCTCCCCGTGTTCATTGTGGTGAGAGTGCTTCAGAGAACTCCTGTGCTCAAAGCTGTGGTGATGAGTGGTGGCCAGATGAGTGTGAGCTGTCGTAAGTGGGCACGCCCCAAACAGTTCATAAGGAACTTTCAGGAGGTCCTTGCCCTTCCGAATCCCTGGTGTTGCACAGATGATGCCATCACTTATTCCTCCTGAAAAGAAAAATTAAAGAAACCCAACAGATTATGATCTTAATATTTTGTGATTTCTGAATTCTCTTCACGTAGAGTTTACAGATACTCGAGGTACATTTATAGTCAGTGTTGACTTTATACCTTTAAAGATGTCCAACTATATCTAGAAAAAGGGCAACAAGGCAAGTGAAGGGCTTGGAGAATATGCCTTAGGAGGAGTGACTGATTGAACTAGGGCTGTTTAGTCTGGGGAAGAGGAGGCTGAGGGGAGACATTGCTTTCTTCAAATACCTGAAAGGTGGTTGCAGTAAGAGTGGAATTGGTCTCTTCTAACTGGTGACAGGTGATAGGATGAGGGGAAATGGCCTCAAGTTGCACCAGTGTGAGTTTAGTTGGCTATCAGAAAAGACTTCTTTACAAAAAGGGTTATTAAGCACTGGAATAGGCTCCCCAGGGAGGCAGTTGGGTCACCATCCCTGAATGTGTTTAAAAACCATTTGAATGTGGTGCTCAGGGACATGATTTAGCAGTGAATTGCTAGAGTTAAGGTAGTATGGTTAGGTTGTGATTGGACTTGATGATCTTGAAGGTCTTTTCCAACCTGAACTTCTCTATGATTCTCTCTTTTTCCAGTTAGATCAAAGGTAAGAATATTGCACTTTAACAATCGTGGAAGAAATTATTTGCAAGTAATAACTTTCATCAGAAATTGTTACAAATGCAAAAGTAAAGAGCAGCAGTCAAGTAAACGTGAGCAAAAAAAGTCATAGATAAAAATAAGAGATATTGCTAACAGCAAATTCATTGCTTTCAAATTTGTATTATTACTTCTTTTTCTAAATTTTTTAAAAAAAGAAATTAATATATTAGTAAACATATCTTACTTGATTGAAATAACCCGTGAAATAATCATTCTTCTGACATCATGCGTTAGTTATAATGAAATAAAGAGAAAGTATAGTAAGTTGAGTACATGAACAATGTTTTCAAGGTTTGTGGTAAGAAAATATTCAGAGTTCTAAAGAAGTTAAGATTAATCAATCTATTACTTGTTCAAGTGGTAAACTTCATAATTGCTCACAGCCAGCTTCTGCAGCCTCTCAAAGTATGTTTTTAGTATAAACGGGAAATGAAGTAGGAAGCCTTAGTCTTGGTAAATCACACCGTTGTTCCTAAGCATGTAGAGCAACACACACAGGGAGTTGCTTTCAGAGTTCTAATTAGGCCATACATCACATCCTTAGGAGTATGGTGTGCTGAGGAGTCAACAAGGCCAAAACCAATGTTTACATATTTAAAAAGTTTAACTTAATCAAGTTAGTTGAATTTTCGCCCTCTTCTCTGTCTGAAATAATCCACCTTTTACTTAAATCAAGGCACAGAAATTTTTATCCTTAAAAGATTTTATTTGAGGAAGTAGTGAATAAAAATGGACTCAGATGAAAATCTGGAGTCTACTTCACCAAAAATATTGAGGATATTCCAAGATAGAGATGAGTATAGAAGGTTGTCCTGCTGAAAACTCACGCTAAAATTTATTTCAGGGAACAGTTCCTGCATAATGCAACTTTAAGCCCTGGGACAGTGTAATGTCTTATCACCCAAAATGTTAAGATTGAGAGGAGTTTAGGCTTTTGTCTATTCTAAAACATTATTTCTGGAAGTGGGCTTATCTCCCGGAAGACTTTTTCTATGTCCCTGTGTTGATAGTATAGTTTTCCAACTAACCTGCAGACTTCTGATGCTGCAGTACAACACAGGCAATATGGACTATCTTCTCATGTTCCGTGTTACCTTCAGGTATAGATAGTTCATCATGTTCAAGCATCAAAGCTTGATTTAGAGAAAATTAAATTGCAGAGCTGTTTTGAATTTTGAGAGTTTGAACATACCTCCCAGGAGAAAGAAATTTGCTTTAGTGCTTAAAGTCTTTCCTGCATTCATTGTAAGTAAAATGTATATGAATAAAGTGCTTTGGAATGATAAAAGCTTGTTTTCTTTTTTTTAATATTGTAAAGTTTCTCGGAGCTCTGGAAGCAAAACAAATTCTTAAATACGTAAAATTAGATCATGTTCTTTTTTATAAAGCATAACTCTAGAACATATTTGAAAGCAAGCGTGAACAAAATATGAAACTACTTTACATATAAAATTTCTCAGGTGGTGGTATTCCATATATCAATCAGGATATTACTAGTAAATTTAGTACTACAGCAAATTAAAAAGTAATATCAGGCAAGAGTAGGCTTCTATAAGATGCAACACATTTTTAGGTAAGTATTCTTATAAGGAAATACCAAGTTGTAATTTGAAGAGAAATTAGAATCCCAAGTTCTCTAAATTGGTACTGATACCTGTGTTGATGCTTAGTCTCATGCATCAGGAGGAGGGAGGATTGAAGGAGGGAGATTTAGGTTGGATGTTAGGGGGAAGTTCTTTACAAGGAGAGTGGTTAGGCCCTGGAACGGGTTGCCCAGGGAGGTTGTGGATGCCCCGTCCTTGGATGTGTTTAAGGCCAGGTTGGACGGGGTCCTGGGCAACCTGATCTGAATGCGTATGTTTGGTGGCCCTGCTAGGCAGGGGGGTTGGAACTACATGATCCTTAAGGTCCCTTCCAACCCGGGTGATTCTGTGATTCTGTGATTAGGTAAAAAGCTTCTGGATGTTAGGTTGGTTTCTAGCAAAAGCATTTTGGTAGTATTAAGACAAGTACATGTGCTCAAGTTATGCTTGTTTTATATGTAGATACAGATATGGATGTATATATGTATATATATATACATTCACTACAGACATGTATTTCTAGAATATATGAATGCAGACTGTAGTCTCTCTCTCTCAGTGTAAATGATCCTCTATGATTCTAGTTGGCCACCTGTAATTATGAGCACACCTATATTCTGGGCTATGCATAGGAATGTATTTTAGTGTGTTTATTTGATAGCATGATGCAGGATGTGAGGGAAATTGGTCCGCTATAGTAGTGAAGATCAGTTAGCTGCATTTGGAAGATTGTGTTCTCATGTGCATCGTATGTAATAAGGATAATTCCTTACCTCTGTATAAAAAACTCTCCAACCACAGTTTCAGGCCAAAGACATTGCAATTACATAGCCAGGGATTATCCTTGAAAAGAACAACTTTCAGGTTTGGAAGTGACTCCAGCAAAACTCTTTCCATTTTCTGAAGCTTGTTATGCTTCACTGACAGTAATGTAATATTCCCTGTGCTGTTTCCAAAAGTCTCAGGCAAACGTACAATGCTGTTGGATGACAAGTCCAGTTCTTTGAGGTGTGGGAGGAAACTGAAGGTCTTGTTTTCTATATAATGAATCAAATTTCTAGTTAGGTTTAGAACCTGTAGGTACCGTAATTTTTGTAAAGCACCTGGTGCAAAACTTGAGAGAGAATTATTAGACAAGTCTAAGATTTTCAGCAGTGGTGTTCCAGTGAATGCGTTTTGGTTGATTCTCCAAATGCGATTATTCTGCAACAGCAGTATCTGAGTTTCAGGTGGTAAGTGGGCAGGAATTTCAGTAAAACCTCTATTCTTGCAGTCTGTGGTCTTTGAAGCCATATGGCATAGGCATTTTTGAGGACACCCGTGAGCCATGTGTACTGTGAAGACAATGCTCAGCGCCAAAAGCCAGTTACCTGTACCACAAATGAAAGCAGCAATAATGCTTTGAAATTATTATAAAATATTTGTCTTTTGACAGTACAGAAGTCAATAACAAAAAAAAAAAGCTTATACAGTACATTCATAAGCCATAATGTAGATAGCATAAATATAATTCATAATTTTAACAGTGCATGAATAAATCACAGATATTATTGAAATACTTTTATAGAATGGAGTGAAATAAGTGCTCCCAGCATCTTTAAGTGAAGTACTGCTCATGGCTTTATTTTAAGTATAAATCACTTTCAGGAGGTTTTGCTATCAGCAAAGAAGTAATTGAAGGGAATTGTGTGAAGTTTCTAAAATTACTAAATTGTAATGTTCCTCTGTGTGCAGTAGTAATAACTTTTAGCTATCTTGTGTCAGAAGAGTCATTTTTATTTTTATTTTTAAAGTTTTACTACCTAAAAAGAATTAAGTTAACGTACTATGAAAAGAGTGACAAGCTTTAAAGGCATTTCCATAAAAAGCAGTTAATAGTACTTTTTCAGCAACCTTTATATTTGTTCTTTAAAATATCTATGTTTACAATTGCTTGGATTCCAGCTGTATTTCTCATAGATACACGTTTCTACTCTCTCAGCAAACATTTGTCAAGAAACTATTATAAAGATAAATGAGGTCACAGGAGTACTTAACACTATTTAGTATTTATCATTTATAATTATCATCTGTTCCCTGATATTCAGGTCAGCCCTAACTGAAAAAAAATATATCATTTTTCTTTCACATATTGCTAGTGATCTTCCATTGTATAGGAACGTGCAATTTTATGCAAAGCATGAAGTTAAAATAAATAATCGAATGATGTTAAGTGATGTGAGTTTTTCTGAATAAAGAGAGTCAGTGATAAATTCTTTTTTCACGTTGGTTTTGAGACACCTCAAACCATTTTTACTACTTGCTATTTCAGAATGAAAAATATTTTGGTCAGTTACTACTTGAAACCTTTGGAAATTAAAGGATACATTGGCTTACAAAGATCAAATATTAATTAGTAATAGGGAATACCATGTGGAAGGAACAAATATGTGATTAAAACATTGAATATAAAAAACACATACATGAAAATATGAATGAAAGTTTTACTTTGAGGGTGCAGTTTAACTGATAAATTCCTCATTAATTTTCCCTGTAAAATGAAATTGCATTCACATTAAAATTATAAATAATCCTCTGCCATCCTTGAATTCTATATTGTAAAATTCATTAGAAAAAAAAACAAGAAAGCATACTTGTAAATAAGTTAAGCATTACATTCAGTTCATTACATTGTTCTGCAACAGTTGGTTTCAGGAACTGACATACAGCTTCCAACATGGCATTAAAAATAAACATGAGTCAAGGAAATGCCTAAAGAACAGAATAGCCTCATTATTAGTCTGAATGCATCAGTATCTCACCTGTCATTCTGCTTTGCTTGTTTCCCACCTTGAAGAAGACTCAGTCCAGTTTTCTGAGGTAGAACAGTAAATGTACACTTTATTCTGGTTCCTCCTTCAAAACTGTAACATGCTCATCCAATTTCTTCTGCTTGTTTTATTTTTGTGGTGTTGTTTTTAGTTTTTTTGTTTTAAGTTTGTATCCTTGGCTTGAGTAGAAGTGCTACAATTTCTAGTGAGTTAATCCATCAGCCTTTGTTTTTTTTTCTTTATCACAATCTTTTTTTCCCTCAACGTCCATTTCTGGCTCTCAGAGTCTTACCCTGCTTCTTTTAATCTGTCAGCAGGCCATGCAAAGAGTGTCTGTCAACTCTAACTGGACAGCTGTAACATACAAATCATGACCTGATAGCCCCGTCTTTTTGATTATTTAATCTGCCTCACATGGAAGGCAGGAAAATAAAGCTGCCTTTTAAAATCCACTGTAGTTTCTGAATTGTGGTGGATTATTAGCTATGCTGTGTCAATTTTTGCAAGATCAGATGACTCTGAACAAAGATTCTGATTATCCTGAGCTGTGACTGGAGGCAGTGGAGTGTGTAATATTGCCAGGAATAGTCATGTGGGTTGATGATATGGTTTTGACAGTGCACTTGTTTGCTCTTCTAAGCTTATTCATCTGACATCCATTAGTTGTGCTGACAGGCTTTTCTTGCATGGGAACACAGAACTGGTGTCTCATTCTATAAAAATGGCAATGGACACCAAGAATACTGAAGAAATTTATTTCCAAACATTATTTGAAAAAAAAGGAGTGTGTTCTTACAGTGCTTTGGTTTGCCTCCTTGATACTACTACTCATACATACTGTATCAGCTACAACAACAACAACCAAAAAGGATTAATGACTTGTGACTATGAAATAACTCAAAGGTGTTTCAAGGAATTAATGATCTAGTATAACAGAGTCTTTCATGATCATATCATCACTCTATCATCCATTACCTTTCTTTTTATTGGGGAAGTAGTGCAATCAAAAGCTTTCAGGACAGTTCTGACATGTAGCATGCTAACTTTGGTCCAAATTCTTCTTTTTTCATGTGATTTTGAGAAAGTCTTAACAATACTCATTTTCTACTGCAGAATAGAAGGAATTGTACAAAAGTGGAGGTTGAAAAGGACATCTAGAAAACATCTGATCCAAACGGTTGTTGAAAGCAAGGCCTTACATGAGGTTACCCCTGTCCTTGTCAAGCTGAGACTTACATGTTTCCAGGAAAGCATCTCCAAAGCAGCTCTCATGTCTGCTACTTTCCAGCAGCCTTAGTCCTGTCTCTAACTTCCAGATCAGCCTTTGTGTTCCTAGCCTTATCCCTTACATGCTTTTTTTTTTTTTTTTTTTTTTTTTTTTTTCACGCTACTCATCTCATATGCCTCCCTGGTCAGTGTTTTGTTTGTGTGTTTGTTTGTTTTTATCACATTGGTTCTCCATTCCTCTCAGTCCTTCATGTCTCCTCTGTCTCTCAAGCCACTCTCATCCTCTGCAATAGGCATCTTTAATCCCCTTTTCTTGGTTTGAGGAAGAGATTTGATGTGCTACTATAAAGGAAACTGTATATAGAACAGTAATGATTATAGCATGCTTTGCTGAATTGATTCTGAGACTTTTCAGAGTACTGAAAGAAACAATGAGTATTGCGAAATGGTGACAAAGAATGTGGAACAAGTGGCATTCTGTAAATAGATGTGAGTATTCATCTCAAAGATATTAGGATTATTGCTGTGAATGGTAGGTCGTATTGCCTTTAACTCACATGAACATCGACACGTCATCCTGATTCAGCCTGAAAGATTTCAGACTAGCACAGAGAAAATCCGTAGATGTAGATTGCCAGGTAGCAGCCATAGTAAATAGCTTCAACTTTCCAAAGGGAGAGGAAAATGAATGTCAGGTTAAAGAAAAACACTTCTCTAATCTTTGTCGCAAATCATATTTTTCTGTGGTTTCCCAACTCGTGTGTGTGCATACACACATTGAAGAAACACAGAAACAGACCTATCTGAAATAATAGCACTGAATCGTTTTAATGAAGACAGAACTAACTGTAAGAAGGGCATTTATTAAAGACAGTAATCCTTCGAAATTGTAGCCTTTGTAGTTGCAGATGCTCTGCTTTGTTCTTTAAAGGAAGGAATTTAGCTCAGGTGCTCGTTGCTACAGACAGTTTCCCTCAGTCCTTGCCATAATCCATATCTTGTAACAATAGTAGCCCTTCTTATGGCTGTTTGTTATATGACAGAAGGTATTAGCTATGCTGCTGTTGTGTTATGATAGCACTTTTTCATACTTCTAAGTTCTCTTCAGAATCTACATTTGTATTTTTGCTCATGAATTTCCAGATCCACAGAACTGTAGGGGTTGGAATGGACTTTCGGGGATCATCAAATCCAAATTCCTGCTAAAGCAAAGAGTTCAAAGAGTTTAATTCAGTTTCTTTTTTAACTAGTTCCTCTTTAACTAATGTTTGCTGACCAGGTAGGCTTGCAAGCTCCCACAACACTTTATATCATCTAATGGTAGCCTTAAAGAATGTCTCCTAACTGCCCCTCTTATTTTAGGTAAGCATTTGCTGCTATAATTGTATTATTTTTAGCACTTGCAGTATTAAAGAGATGTTCATAGGACAAGGTCACACAAAGTTAAGCGCTGTGGGAGGTTCAGTTCCAACAATAATGCAGAGGTTATTTTATGTATTCTGAATTGCGGTATAAGAAGTTATTACTCTTTTTAAAAAAATCTTCATGCTGGATTCAGATTTGGAAACATATGATTAAATCTGTCAATTTGCTTTTCATGTAGATGTGGCCATTTCGTCTTCACATTGAGAACTCTGAATACATATATTTTGTAAACAGAATTTTCCCTAACCTATAATCCGTTTCGTATTCCCATTTATTAGTAATAATACTTTGGTTAAGACGGAGAAGTTTGATGTGGTGAAAATTACAGCTGTGAAACAGGTAGATTTGCCAGAAACAGAATAACTCATGAAATTTACTCTACTTCTGGGCTTTTGAACAACCAGCATGATTCTTTTCAGTTGTCTGATGTGGTGCAGCAGTGTGTTATTGTGACTGCTTAAATTAACTTGTGCCTTGTTGCAACAAGATACGTTTCCCTTTGCCCATGGCAAGCTAGCCTGGTAAACTCATGTCCTATCCATTTGTGCTGATGGGGCACTTCGCTGTCAGATTGCCAGAATATACTTTGTTACAGAAGTTTATTGCTTTGTGCTTCAAAGGAATGTACAAGAATCATCTCTTCCTGCAGAACTGTATGAATTAGACTTTAGCAGAAAGGGAAAAAAAATTAGTACGTGTATCAAATACTTAAAGTCTATAGAATTCTGACTACACATTTATTCCAGACAGACATGATTATATGAAAAAGAAAAAAAAAACCAGCATTCCTCAAACTATGACAGAAAATTCCTGTACATTCTCTCGTTCTCT